CACAGGAGGAATAAAGCACCTATTCTGTCCACACACAAACAGTTCAGAAGACTAAAACACACATTTCTCCCAGAATTGGGCATCAACAACTGCTACCGTCCCCACATTATATTGGCATGCTTCTTGAGCTTGAGTCAAATCAAGGATGTACGGTATATGCCCAAGTCTCCTAGAAGGAGCACAAGAAGCCTTCTTTGAGCGTCAGCCATAAGAACATCAGAAGAGCTTTCTGGATTGCCCCAAGCAACCTGTTCTCACAGTGGCCAACCAGATACCTGTGGGGAGTTAGCAAGCAGGACCCAAGCACAAGGGCAGCGCTCTGCCTTCCTGTGGTTTCCAGCAACTAGTGTACTCTAGCCACTCAAGGTTTCAGAGCAGGGGAAGAGGAACCTGAGGCGACCTCCTAATTTCCAGCATGACCCCAAGCCCCAGAGCAGCCAGCAGCTCTTCCTGGCATGGCTGCAAGTACTTCCAGGTCAGGCTTGGATTTTTGCTCGACTAGAACTTTGCTTTGCCTGGAGCGAAAGTCCCGTCCCAGCTGTACTCCTTGCTCCTTGGGACAGACCACTTAGCTCCTCTTCTTAGCTACCCTTGACCTCAACTCCTGTCCTCTCTGGAACTTTGAGGGCAGGACTTTAGAGGTGGAGATCAAGGGCACCGCTCAGCAGAATGAGCAGGAGGGCCCCCAAATGCAGCAGGCCTGGCGTGCGCATTTTGAGAAAGCAAAGGAAGACACACAACAATCTAAAGACCACTGTCCCCCCACAAAAAAGTCTATTAAGTCCAGAGTTTCAACCACAACCCCTGGTCCCCCAGTTCAGAAAGCACCCCCAGTTCCATGATCTGGCTCACCACCACCTCAGCTTTAGCCCACCTGTGGATCGGGCACCTCACGCCATCAGACATGCCAGTCCCTCCCTGGCTGCTTTTCTTCCAGTCGCACAAGCCAGAGGTAAGCATTCCCACACCAGCAAGGGACTGACCCCAAACCCAGGGGCTTCTTGGTGGTGGCACCCACCCTGTGGAATGCCCTCCCATCAGATGGCAAGGAGATAAGTATCTATACAACCTTTAGAAGACACCTGAAGGCAGCCCTGTATGGGGACGGTTTTAATGTTTAATGTTTTATTCTGTTTTTATATACGCTGGAAGCCGCCCAGAGTGGCTGGGGCAACCCAGTCAGATGAGCGGGGTACAATTGTTGTTGTTATCATTATTATTTTTATTTGCAGCTGAGCTTTCCAAACTGCAAGGCCCCTTGGTGCTCGGCCACAGGTCTTTCCAGAGGCCTTCACACCAGGGCCCCAAATGCAGCATTATCCATTCAATGCAAGGGCATCTTAACAAACCTTGAAAATCCCCTGCAGGAGGAACACAACAGTTCTGCTGCCTTTTCCTAAACCTCAACATTTTGTCAAGAGTGGGAGAGAGGACATAATACCCACCGATGGGCAAGCCCTTAAAAGACTGGACATATAGGAGGAGCAGACTCAAAGAAACTGCCCTCCAAGCCTCACCCACCCACTTGGCATAGACCACTTGGCCATATTGTCTTGGGTGGGGGACGACACCAACAAGGTTGTCCCGTGCCTTGCCCTTTCAGACTCATTTCTTTTCAATTTTTTAGGAACAACAAGGGTAGGGAGGGACAGCCCTCTTATGCTCAGGTGAGGCTTGCAGGTTTTAGGGTTGCCATTTTTCAAAAAGTGAAAATCCGGACACAAAGGTTGTTGAGTTTTATACCTATTTTTTAGGGAAATATGGGCTCAATATGGACTGCCATGTGCCTGGGTTTTCCTGGAAATTTCAGCTGCTTTTTGAAAATTCCACCCAGACACCGTTTTTGATGGACAGATCCCAGCTACGTCTGGGAAATTCCAGACACATGGTGATCCTAGCAGGTTTCCTCTTATGGGCATCTGAGGAACAGGGTGCAGGACTCAGTAGGCCAGAGTTCTGATCCAACAGGGCTTTTACGATGTTTTAATCAAAGTTTTTCAAAGGCTCACACCTCCTGCTAATGAATTGACATTAATTCAGTAACTCTCAAGAACATGACTCCTCCCTGCTGCAAGATTGCAATCAATGTCTATTTGTCATGCATTTTGATGTTGCAATGTAACATTCTGGGGAACTGAACAAATGCATTTAAAACAAAAGCACCTAAGATTCCCAATAGTTGGTTTTGCATCTGTGCGTACCTGTCGTTTCAAGTCAGCAAGCTCAGTTTTAAAATCGCCAGGCTGGATCCTCCACAGACAGCCCCACCATGCTGTCCTTTCTCAGAAACCTGATTAAGTCAGGGTGGGGGTGGGGAGCAGGTGGAGGGGAGTGTGTAGCTTTGCAGGGGAGCTCAGCCCAAGAATGGGAGGCAAAATATCCCAGATAATCATTAGCAGCCCAGGCCTGGCCATGCTGGCTCATACAAAGGTGCTTCCTATTTGCTCTGGCATCCAGTTTGCAGGTGGATCCCTCCACTGAGCCCCACCTTTCACCTGTGCCCTAAAGGCAACCAACACTAAATTAACCAAGAGGACGAGCTGCATAGCAGCAGGTTACTCTGTCCCCATTTTTTCACAAATGTATACAAAGATAAATTTGCCCCAGAAGGCTGCAGACTTGAGCAGAAAAATCAGTGGGTGGGTGGATGGGTGGGTGGGTGGGTGGGTGGAGAAAGAGCCATTTTCTCAGATCAAAATCACACACCAAAAAGTTTTGCTGCTTTTGTGTAAAATAAAAACTTGCGGTGGTATGTTTTCTTTGTGTGGATGTTTTCATGCACCCTCCCAAAGGTGCTTTTATCATGGCAAGGGGACTCTCTCACTGAGCAAAGCAGTCTAGGGAGGGTGATCTTCAGCAGGAAAATGACAAGAGCGGAAAGCATCAAGCAGAAGAATGCTGGTCTTCTACTCAAAAGGGCAGCCTCGCTGGGGAGCTACCTCTCTTTACTGTGAAACACATACACTGTGGCAAAGTTTATCTCATCATTTCAATCATGGCCCTAAGAGGCTGAATACTTACTAAGGGACTAGGGGCATGATCTGCAATAGGGAGGAGAGACAAGGAGATAAGCAGCATCATGCATTACATGTTGTTTCATAAGCACCACTCCTTCATGACAGCAGACAGTCATTGTCTTCCTTGCACACACCCCATAGACGTTGGCAAATCAGAGGTTCAGAACGGGGGGTGGGGACCTCACTTGCTGTGCAAGCGCAAGCACGTGCCCCAGCAGAATCAGACAAAAAGTCTCTCTGGTGCATGAGGGGAGGACCTCTGAATATTGCTTGACCACTATCCCCAACCATCAGCCATGCTGAGGGATCTGGGGTGGGGTGGGTGACAGCAGCGGGAGCAGGGAAGGCCTTTTGAGTTTCCTAACCCTTCGGCGCATTACAAGCTGCCCAGGTGAGTTCCACAAGTTAGTTAAGCACCAACCATAAAGTTTCCCAAGGGCACAGGAGGTGCCCTCCGTCCACCCTTGCTGATGGCATCACAATTTCAGCGCTTGCCAACGCCTTTCCTGATCAAGGAATGCCCTGCTTAGAGCTACTGTCACCAGAACAGTGTGCTATCAAGGCACAGCCAAGCCCAGCTGGGTTTTCAAGCCCCAACTGGAGCTCTGCATTCTGGAGGGAGGGTTGGGCTGGATGACCCCTAGGATCCCTTTCCAACTCCTCAATTCATGCAGCAGTTTGGGGTTTTTTTCCACGGCACCTCACCTCACACAACACACACCTGTGTTACATTATGTCCGAGCTTTCATATGACACAAAAGCCTCTTCTGGAACTGCAACATAGTGCAAGTTTGGTATTCCGTGTCATTTGCTTCCAGAAACAATCCATTTGCAAGCAATATGGAAATGAGCACCAAACTTGCACTACGCTCCACTATAGTTTCTTTATTTGAGAAAGCTCAAATAAAATGTGGAAATAAACAGTTAGGGAAATGTTTCAAAAAATGGAATGAACAGCCTTGTAAAAGCACATTCCTGCTCCTCAACCAGCACACACAAACACACCCCATTGGGGAAGGGGGCAAGACAGCCCCAGCACAGGCACTGCCCATTGCCAGGAAACCTGCCTGCTTCAACACAGGGCTCTTCCAGGGTTGCGAAAGATGCACATCCAGCCACACTCAAATTACAGGAAGGCCAGAGGGGGGTCAGGCCAGGCCAGACCAGGCCAGACCAGCCCCCAGTTGCCTTTTGGGATAGCCACCCCCTTAGCTCTTGCTTCTAGGAGTGGGGGGCCACAATTTGGCTGAACTGGGGGGAAAATAATGGCTAGATTGGAGGAAAAATATCAAAGGATGGGGAAGGGGGGGAGGGTTCATTCTGCCCCCTCAGCCTCCCCCTCCACCATTCAATGACAGCACAACTATGGGTGTAGCCAGTGGGTGGGGAGAGCAGCTACCCCCCCCCACTAAATCAAGTAAATAAATAAAAATACTTAACTAAAAGTAGAAATCATAAAAAGATTTTGAGAGACTTTTCTGAACACTTGGGGTCAAAAGAATGTAACAACTGTTGTTGAGACATTTCATTTCGAATCTACTAGTAGACAGAGCCGGATAGAGGATGATGAGGGATGATGCTCATGTTTCCTCACCTGATGGTTCTGCCTGGGTGTACCTGGGGCAGCAGATGCTGCTACACAGACACCCCACTGCAGTGATGGTGGGTATGATGATGATGCCCCCAGCTCACTGAACACCTGTGGACGTGCCCGGCAGCCACAACTTGGCTTTCCAGGCTACCCACAGATAGACACACACACACCCCTTGTTCTTCTTCAGGCACTCCCCCACTCAACATCCACAAAGAAAGAGTATATTTAATTATGTCTGGGGTTTGTAATCCGCGCGCCCGTCCCCGCCCCACTGATTAACCCCTCCGAAAGAACCAGCTGCCCGGCGGCGGCGGCGGCTTGCCCGGTTGGATTCCTGCCTGCCCCGTAACCAAGAGTGGGGAAAGCTTTCGAGGAGGCGCCCGCGTTACCTCTTGCTGCTGCCGCGCGTTGTCGTCGTCAAGGTCGCCCACGTAATACTGCTCGAGCCAGCGGCGCGCGTTCTCCGAGTGCCGGTGCGGTGGTCCGTCCAGCTCGGCGCTCACGTCGGTGCCGGCCCGCTGGAGGAGCAGCTCGGGTCCGCCCGGGTGGAGCCGCACGAAGGCTGACAGGTCGTAGACGCGGCGGGGGCCCACCAGCACCAGGCACTCGCCCGCCGCGCAGCGCTGCTGGATCTCGGCGCGTGTGTGCCCGCGGGGCTGCTGCGGGGAAGGAGCCATGGCTGGGCAGCGAAATCCTCGAGGGCGGCGGCGGCGGCGGCGCAGCAGTTCTTCCGACGGCTTCCACAGCACTGAGCCAAGCACCTGCTGCTGCTGCTGCTGCTGCTGCCCAGGCTTCCCAAAGAGTACTTAAGCCAGAGGCGCGGACACGCCCCGTCCCGTTGGTCTCCGGGCGCCACGCAGCGCCGCGCTTGCCGCCTTGCTCCCTCCCCACGCCCATCCACCTTCCCACTAACCGAGGATGGCGACCAAAAGCCACAAGGTTACAACATTGGGGACCTTTTCCTTTCGGGGCGAGGTGGAGCACCCATGATGGGCAGCGGGGCGGGCGGCGGAACTTGGCGACGTTCTAAAAGAACTTGAAACAATTTGTGGGGGGAGCGGAGAAGTTTTTCTCCCCCACAACACCAGCCAACGAAGCTGGGGGAAGTTGGGAGGTGGGGAGAAAAGGGTTGTTTTTTTTCGGAACATAAACTATGGCACTCACTCCTGCGGGAGGCGGTGAGAGACACCAAGCTGGAGGGCTTTAAAAGAGGAGGAGACAAATTCCTGGAGGAGAGGACTCCCAGTGGCTACTAACCAAGATGATTGTGCTCTTCCTACATGGTTGGAGGCAGAGAAGCTTCTGAATTCCAGTTGCTGGAACCATCGGTGGGGAAAGTGCTCTTGGGTTCTATTTGGGCTTTTCCCAAAGGCATCTGGTTGCGCCCCCCCCCCCAGCGCAGGTGGAAAAATGCCTGCAGGTCTTCCAGGACTCACAGCCAAAATGATGATGATATAGATGATATAGATGATATATTATTTGTACCCTGCCCATCTGGCTGGGATTCCCCAGCCACTCTGGGCAGCTTTCAACAAAGATTAAAAATACATTAACAGGACTGCCTTCAGATGTCTTCTAAATGTCAGGTAGTTGTTTATCTCTTTGACATCTGATGGGAGGGCATTTCACAGGGTGGGCGCCACTACTGAGAAGGTCCTCTGCCTGTAGCTTTGCTTCCCTGTAGCTTTGCTTGTTGCAGTGGGGGAACCGCCAGAAGGCCCTCGGCGCTGGACCTCAGCGTCCAGGCAGAACGATGGGTGTGGAGACGCTCCTTCAGGTATACTGGGCCGAGGCCGTTTAGGGCTTTAAAGGTCAACACCAACACTTTGAATTGTGCTCGGAAACATACTGGGAGCCAATGTAGGTCTTGGTGGCCGCCCCCAGTGAACAATCTAGCTGCCGCATTCTGGATTAGTTGTAGTTTCCGGGTCACCTTCAATGGTAGCCCCAAGTAGAGCGCATTGCAGTAGTCCAAGCAAGAGATAACTAGAGCATGCACTACTCTGGCAAGACAGTCTGCAGACAGGTAGGGTCTCAGCCTGTGTACCAGATGGAGCTGGTAGACAGTTGCCCTGGATACAGAATTGACCTGCGCCTCCATGGACATCTGTGAGTCCAAAATGACTCCCTGGCTGCGCACCTGGTCCTTCAGGGGCACAGTTACTCCATTCAGGACCAGGGAGTCCTCCACACCAGCCCTCCCCCGTCCCCCAAAAACAGTACTTCTGTCTTGTCAGGATTCAACCTCAATCCATTAGCTGCCATCCATCCTCCAACCACCTCCAGGCACTTGCACAGGACCTTCACCTCATTCACTGGTTCCAATTTGAAAGAGAGGTAGAGCTGGGTATCTTCTGCATGTTGATGGACACCCAGTCCAAACCCCCTGATGATCTCTCCCAGCGGCTTCATGTAGATGTTAAAAAGCATGGGGGAGAGGACGGGACCCTAAGGCACCCCACAAGTGAGGGCCCAGGGGTCTGAACACTCATCCCCCACCACCACTTTCTGGACATGGCCCAGGAGGAAGGAGCAGAACCACTGTATAACAGTGCCCCCTGCTCCCAGATCCTCTAGACAGTCCAGAAGGATGTTATGGTCAATTGTATCAAAGGCCGCTGAGAGATCCAGCAGAACTAGGAAATAGCTCTCACCTTTGTTCCTAGCCCGCCAGAGATCATCAACCAGAACGACCAAGGCAGTTTCAGTCCCATGATGAGGCCTGAATCCTGATTGGAAGGGATTCAAATGGTCTGCATCCTCCAGGCGTGCTTGGAGTTGTTCAGCAACCACTCGCTCAATCACCTTGCCAAAGAATTGGAGATTTGAGACTGGGCGATAGTTGGCCATACTGGCCGGGTCTAAAGATGACGTTGAGCTCTAACCTGTGTCCGGTCAGATTCAGAATGAGTTTTCTGCCACTGACGCTCTAGCTGTATCAGCGATTGTTTCCTCACCCTCAGCTCCAAAGAAAACCACAGGGCTGTCCGGGCTCCATGCAATCGGAGAGGGCGCTTTGGAGCCAGACAGTTGATAGCCCTGGTTAACTCCGCATTCCAGCGGGCCACCAGGGAATAAGCTGAAAGGCCATCAACATGGGATAAAGCATCCCCCACCACTCTCTGGAAACCATTTGGATCCATTAAGTGGTGGGGGTGGACCATCCGAATCGGTCCCACCTCCCTGCAGAGGGGAAGGGTTGCGGAGAAGTCAGGTTGCACCAGGAAGTGATCTGACCATGGCACTTCTTTTGTTTCACTTTTACTTAGTGTCAGATCACTCATGTCACTAGAGGTGAACATCAGGTCTAAGGCATGTCCGTAACTATGAGTTGGGCGAAACTTATTCAGGGACAGCCCCATGGAGGCCATGCTTTCCACGAAGTCCCGAGCGGCCCCTTGTAAGGTCGTGTCGGCATGGGATGTTAAAATCCCCTAGAACAACCAACTAGGTGTCTACAGGAGAACATCTGCCACGACCTGAAGCAGCTCAGGCAGGGAATCCTTGGTGCAGAGGGGAGGTCGGTACACCTAAAGGAATCCTGTACTGCCCCTATTGCCCAACTTCCAGAACATGCACTCAGAGAACTGGGTCTTCCCAGTAGGACGCCTGATGCAAGCTAGTGACTTCCTAAAATCACTGCAACCCTCCCTCCCGACCCACATGACCTGGATTGCTGTGCGTAAGAGAAACCTGGTGGACGAGCAGCAGCTAAGACAGGCCCATCTGCTTCATCCAGCCAAGTCTCTGTTACACATGCCAGGTCAAGTCCTCCATCCACAATCAAGCTCGCAGATTCCTTTCACCCCTCCATTCAGCCAAAGATCAGCAAATATACTTCCAATTAAATTAAATTCCAAGTCCTTTCAGCATTATTCAGTTCAGTCCGTAGATAATAGAGGATGGGGAAGAATCAGCTCTAAGTTTTCTTTGTACACCTTTTGCAAAATAGAGCTTCCCTCCCTTTTTCTTTTTTCTTTTTTAACACACACAGAGTTCCATTTAACATTATATTCCATAACTGCAATTCAGTTACATCTCTCTTAACCTGTACATACATAACTTGAACTAGCATTTCAAGGGAGAGTTGCTGAATCATAAATGTAGAGAAGAAAACTTTATATAAAGAAGCCGTAGGCTCCCCTCCCCCAACACCGTCTTTTACACCGAATGGAGTCTTCTTTCTTTTTTTCTTTACTTTTAAAATTTATTTATTTATTTATTATTAATGCACAATGGGGAAAATCATACATCAAAACTAAACAAAAAAAACAAGTAGAAATAATAATAAGTGAAGTAAAAAACAACAACAACAAACACAAAGCATTATAACAAAAAGAATATAGGTCTTTTGACTACAGACCTGACCTCTTGTTTACTCCTTAATTCAATTACATATAACTTATTGCCGGTAAAAACTATTATCATATAATTTGAAATAAGATTCAGAGGAGGGTTGCCAAATAATAAATGTAGAGAAGAAAACTTTAAATAAAGAAACCATAGCTCCCCTCACCCCTCACTGTCTTTTGCACTTTCAAGTTCAAACTTTAATGACCTTGCAGCTGATTCAGCTCCACAATTTATTATCTCGTCTCTTCTAGCACGTGCCTGTACATTAGTCCAAATTAAACTCTAATTAGCAGGAGAATCTCTGCTTCTTAATGGTGGTGTAGGAAGGTGTTATTGGCAGGCAAAGTGCTTTTGCACTCAGTGCCTCCCTGGTGCGGGCTCGGCGACATCCCAACTTTTTTTGTCCATGTTTTTACCTCTGAAAATATGGCAGCCTCCACCTTGCTGCCTCATCTGCCCTGATAGTGGCACCCATCCCACTTGTGTACCCTGAGAGGCCTGCTTCCTTACTGTACAGGGTCCCTGAGTGAGCAGAGGAGAAGACAGTGCCCCTGAGCTCATGAAGCTTCCTGCCTGCCCTCCTCACAGTCCTATGGCTAGCTGATTCTATTAGCACAGTCTCCAACTGCCCTAAAAATGCTGGGATCATCATGGAAACCCTTAAGCCATGGGTAGGCAAACTAAAGCCTGGGGACCAGATGCGGCCCAATCGACTTCTAAATCCGGCCCGCGGCCGGTCCAGGAATCAGCATGTTCTTACATGAGTAGAATGTGTCCTTTTATTAAAATGCATCTCTGGGTTATTTGTGGGGCCTGCCTGGTATTTTTACATGAGTAGAATGTGTGCTTTTATTTAAAATGTGTCTCTGGGTTATTTGTGGGGCATAGGAATTCATTCATCCCCCCCCCATATAGTCCGGACCCCCCACAAGGTCTGAGGGAAGATGGACCAGCCCCCTGCTGAAAAAGTTTGCTGACCTTAAGCTGCCATGGCTTCTCACTTTTTCATGCAGAGTCAAAAATACCCATCGTTGTTGAGGATACGCTAACCAGAAATGGCTCCACATTGTGGGAAGCAGGGAGGAAGAGAGTGCTGCTGACTGAGGACTCCTCCACCACCTTCACCACCACCACCTCCTTTGTCACCACTCCTGGGAGTTGGAGAAGGCAGGCAGGGTGTGGGGGGAAGAGTCTTGCACTGGGTCTGAGGGAGGGAGATAGGAAGGCCGGCTGGCTGGCCAGTGGAGTAGCAGCAGAAGTAGTGGGAAGAAGAGAAGGAGGGGGGGTGAGGCAATAGGAATGCCACAGCAACCATCCCTGCAGTGGGAGGCTGGCACTCTTCCCCTGCCAGCCATCCTGCCCGCCATGCCAAATAAAAACAAGGAGAATGAGTCAGGCCTGAAGAGAAGGCAGCAGCTGGAGGAGGTCCTGGGCAGGCCCTTAGGATGGATGAGTTGTGGGGAAGGTGCAGGCAGGCCTGGCGGGCAGGGGACAAGGAGATTATGGGGGTTGAGCATGGGTACTGGAGTTAGCCGGGGAGGGTTGCCTGTATCATGAAAAACTTTTATAAAAAATCTTAACATGCATAAGTATGTTGGAGGGTATGAATAATGCCCCACATTTTCCCTATCTTATCCTTCAGGCTGACAGTCCATGCATGCTTACACAAAATGTCAGTCACCATTAAAACGAACTTTTTGGCATTATTGTACTTTGGGCAGACATATCGATTTTCCACTGTGAGTCTGTCAGATGCCCCAGTTTTATTCCTCAAGAATCTCACCCTGGTGGGTCT